TAGAAAGGCAGGGTCCAAGAGCTAACAGCTCGATTCTGCAGGCAGAATTAATAAACACACACACACACACACACACACACACACACACACACACACACACACACACACACACACACACACACACACACACACACACACACACCCACACACACACACACCCACACACACACACACACACACACACACATGAGCCACAGAGATGTTAGAAGGAACTTTTTCAATGTCAGAGTAGTTAACGAATGGAATGCATTAGGCAGTAATGTGGTGGAGGCTGACCCCATACACAGTTTCAAATGTAGATATGATAGAGCCCAGTAGGCTCAGGAATCTGTGCACCAGTTGATTGACAGTTGAGAGGCGGGACCAAAGAGCCAAAGCTCAACCCCAGCAAGCACAAATAGGTGAGTATAAATAGGTGAGTACACACACACACACACACACACACACACACACACACACACACACACACACACACACACACACACACACACACACACACACACAGTTGGCCGGGATCTATCGTGCTCATTCTATCGTGCTTTTAAAGTATACTTGGAATCTGCGTTTGTAACCTTTTCGTGCGGGCACTGTTCCTTGTTACAGAGTTTGGTTAAAGGTGAACAGTAACCATCGGTGCTCCTTAAGGCGGCAGGAAGACGTTGTTCCAGGTGAGGGAGGACGACGACGATGATTTTGTCACACCTGACGATCAACTCTGACAACCATTGACATCTCTGGCCACACAGACGGGACAGATTTTGGAGTGTCCTTTAGTGAGCGACTGTATGGGGGAAGGGGAGGGGGGGGGGGAGGAAGGCGGGCTTTGGATAAGGGAGGGGGGGGGGAGGAGGAGAAGGAGGGAGTGCAGGGTAGGTTAGGGGATCAGAACCGCTTCTAATGGGATTTAAGCCCAAATGGCTGGATTAACGTCAGCTTTATTGGTTATGAAATTTTTTCGTCGTCAATGCCATCATAATCTGGTTTTTGGTCTTTTGGTGACCGGGTGAAGCATTCCAGAGCTGCTCCGAGGCTGCCCGGCCTAGCCACCACCCACAGTTTTTCCTCGCCTGCCTTTGTCCTCTTGGCAATGATTTATTTGAGCGCCAAGTGACCCGGGGATGTGGCGGCCTTGGTAATGGGGCCAAGCTGTGTGCCCTGTGCACCCCCTTGCTGGACTGACCCGTCGGTGGGGCTGCCCGGCCACGGGTTGTTCAACTAGTTCAAACAACTAGCTTCAACTAGTTCAAACTTGTTCAAACACCAGTTTGTTCAACAATTCGTTATCGCCACTCAATCCAAATCCACCACTCGGCCAAGTTATTACTCGGCTTATTATTATTAAGAGAGGTAAAAGAAGAACGCCCTGAACCCACTCCAGGTAATATCTGTTATCTTCACTAACGTTTAAAGGGTACCTGATACCTTCACTAATGCTTAAGGGGTACCTGATACCTGTCCCTTTAATCCTTGCACATCAGGACACTTGCAAGAAGGTAAACAAGTGTCTTAATGTGTATACAGTGTATATATTCACAACTTTGTCGACGATACAGTATACACTTTCACTCCCTTGTCCCGTCTGGCTGTCTTAGTGCAACGAGAATATTGCAATTGACTTGTGTATAGCTTGCAACAAACAGAAATAAAAGACCCCAAGCCTATGCTGTGGTGGGGTGTATTAACCCAGCACTAATACACGCCCGGGCTATGGTGAGACACCCGTGAAGGGGTCTACAGTGGTCGCCACCTGGGCTGCAGAGCTGTAATCTGACTCTCCATTTACCTGGACTCTAGGAGACTCGAACCGTGGACTCCACGTGTGTGAGGCCGAAGCTCTATCGTCCGAGCTATTGAGAAGTCTTAATAAGGAAGTCTCCGCGGAAGTGTGGGTGACAATGTGTAATATGTTTGGTGTGGGCCGGGGTCACAACGGTACTGTTGGATCCCTTGTCATTCCGTTAATTATGCGATGCGTTAGTAAAGATTAAAGCACCGTAATGTTGACGTTTTTCCCCCATGCTTCGACCTCGATAGGTTAGGTGGGTTCCGTACGTTTCTGGCTAGGCAAAAACAGTTGCATTTTATAACGGAGTGTCAGATCGTCAGAACGGCCTTCACTCTTCAGCCAAAATGATATTCCGAGTGTTGTGTTCTGCCTTTGCCGAAGAAGCCGAGGGAGTAGGGAGGCGAGAAGACCTGCGGCCACGTCTGCTCCTTGCGGGGCTTCCTGCAGCGTCCTGGAGCTCCCTGCAGCGTCTTGGAGCTCCCTGCAGCGTCCTGGAGCTCCCTGGGAGGCGGCGGCGGCTCCTCCCAATCCCGTCCACAGCGGGCTACACCCGCCGCTCCGGGAAAGAGGTTTATAAAGATTTCTGTTTTGAACTTCTAGGCTTTGGTATTGTCCTCGACCCCGTTTGGCTGGACGGCTTTGTGACTGCTGGCTTTGTGAGGGGTGGGGGGGGGGCTGGAGGGTCAGGAGGGGTGGTGTGGGGTATGGAGGGAGGGAGGGTAGGATGGTATGGTCCCCGGAGGGAACGGTAGGGAGTTCCAAGGAATGAGGGAGGGAGGAGTGGTCTGAGCCAGGTAGATGAAGCAAACATAGAAAGGGGTAGAATGGGAGGGAGTGAGAGAAAGGTTGGAAGGGAGGGAAGAGAGGTAAAGCAACCATTGATGGAAGTTGTGGGCATGGAAGAGGAATAGACAATAAAGTGAAGGGTTAAACGATACAATAGGAGGGTAAGAAAAAGGGAGAGGGAAGGAAGGGGGAGGGCTAAAGGCATGAAGGAGAGGACCAGGAACAAATGGGAACTAGAAACAAATGACAAATAAATATGGATATGTATACTGCATTATACAAATATAAATATATACATTATATGTACACACGTTGAATGAAATCACACTGACGTGATGTATCAAAGATAAAACCCATAGGAACCCCTAAGGAGGATTCGAATTCAGGACTCGTAGTGGATCCAGCTGACTCCCTCTGTTGCTTGTGACCGTGTCTTGGTGTAGCGGTCTCGGGGCGCTAGCTTGGGAGTTTCGAACCCGCAATTGAGCGGGTTCGAATCAGCCTTAGGGCTCCTACTGAATTTCTCATGTTTATATGTATATGCATTAATAAAGTAAAAATAGGAGGATGGCAAAACGAATCTTAATGAAGTAGGAGTAATGGGACTTGAAGAATGGGAAGGGGGGGGGTGACGTGACTGGGACTGGGTAGGGGGGGGGCTGGTGACGTAACACAAACTACAGTGCCAGGAAGTGGAGGAAGTCACAGTGGTAAGGCCCCTCTTCGACTGGAAATGTATCGACTACAAAATAATACATTACCGCTCAATTTAGTGGTGTCTTTGGATTCCACTAAAGGTTAAAGACGGTGGGAGTGATGGCAGTGGAGGAAATGACAGTGATGGCAGTGAAAGAGGCGACAGTGATGGAGTGAGGTAGGGAGGGAGGGAGGCGGAAAAGAGGGTGAGGGATTATAGGATATAATTGGAGGAAATGGAGGATGTAGAGGGGATGGAGGAGAGGGCGGGTTGAGAAAAGAGAGGAGAAAGATTGGTAGAAGAAGAGAAGTGTATCAACAGAAAATTAACGATGAGATGGATTGAGGGCAATTCACAGAGCCTTGATTCATCGGGTTGAGTGTGTGTGTGTGTGTGTGTGTGTGTGTGTGTGTGTGTGTTCTCACCTATTTTTGAGTACACAATCCTACTCAATCCGGTGAATCTAGTGTGCGTGTGTATGTATGTATATGCATCTGTGTGTGTGTGTGTGGTCGGAATTTTTACCTCTAGCAGCATGTACTAGCGAAAAGACCTCCCATTAAAGTATAATGTTTACTTGTAAATACACAGCTATTGAAATGGAACAATCTCTGAAACTAGCTCACATTATATGGTTGGTGTAGGAGATGTAATTGTGAATTTAATATTCTCCGTTGAGGTCCGATAAAGATCTTTTGGGCCCTCTGTAATCCTTTTTGCGCTACCGCTCACAGGATGAGTATGGGGTGCACAATAAACTACCGCTCACAGGATGAGTATGGGGTGCACAATGAACTCGCACTCACAGGATGAGTATGGGGTGCACAATAAACTACCGCTCACAGGATGAGTATGGGGTGCACAATGAACTCGCACTCACAGGAGGAGTATGGGGCGCACAATAAACTACCGCTCACTGGAGGAGTATGGGGTGCACAATAAACTACCGCTCACAGGATGAGTATGGGGTGCACAATAAACTACCGCTCACAGGATGAGTATGGGGTGCACAATAAACTACAGGAGGAGTATGGGGTCAATGAACTCGCACTCACAGGAGTATGGGGTGCACAATAAACTACCGCTCACTGGAGGAGTATGGGGTGCACAATAAACTACCGCTCACAGGATGAGTATGGGGTGCACAATAAACTACCGCTCACTGGAGGCCACAATAAACTAGTATGGGGTGCACAATAAACTACCGCTCACAGGAGGAGTATGGGGTGCACAATAAACTACCGCTCACTGGAGGAGTATGGGGTGGTGCACAATAAACTAGGCCCCTCCACCGTCAACAATAAAAAAAATAGGAGCACAACCGGTATTAAAATGCAACTTTATTTCTACTCACTAAATTTTAAATTTTAACT